CTCCATTTCCCATTCACCCTCATTTTAAGAATATTACATCTTAAAAAATAAAACCTCAACATAAGCAATGCTTGATGAAGAATTCCAGGCCTCTTAGTAGCAGCAATGACAACGACTCTAGTATCCATTTCAGTGAGAAGTTCATTAAGTGTCTGCTCTCTTTCACCAGTTACTTCACCAATACCAGTTCCTCTCTGCCTCCCAACTACATCAATCTCATTAATAAAGACTAAAAAAAGTGAATTTTATTTTGCCTTGTTCAATAAATCCCTTGCTCCAGATGTAACAAAATAAAATTTATAACATGAAGGGAGTACATCAGTGTTAAACTTACAATTTAGCATGCATGTATGGATATGGATAACAAATTCGAAACACCTGCTAAAGAAGGGAATTGAAAAATGAAACACAGTGAAAGAGAAGGAAAACAAAGATTGCATAGAGATGCATCGGATAATTTTGTGCTGTCACTGTAAAAGTGGATTACGTCATCTTATACGGACACGTGTCAACAAATCTCACAGGTGTTCTAAGAGTAAGATAAAAATAAACTTGAAATGACACCCTCAAACAAATTGGTAATTCCAGGAATAAGTTACACATGAGCAAAGTTTTACTTTTTCAACAACATGGCTACTAACTGACTTACTGAAGCAATATCATTATAAAGGAGTGTTAAAAGTCATCCCATAATGGTAGACATGCATCCTTTCATAATAGCATCATGCGTTGTAAGCGCCATGTCTTAATCGAAACTTGAAATAACCAAAATATCCAGTAAATCCTAATCAGACATGTTGAAAACATTAAACTACTATGTGCTTTAACTAACATATCGACGTTCAAAAGAATTGAATCAGATTTTTGCCTCATACTCAATAGGCAAAAAAGATTATATGTCCCAATATACCTAATATGTTTGTCTTGATTCCCTATGGGAGTCAAAAAGTTTTTATGTATAGTCTGTGGCCTAGCACAGAGGAGAGTAAAATCATAAATTAGGATCTACTTAAATTCCATTGGTTTTCATTCATGTTTTCCTAACACATCTCATGACCATCACTAGTATAGTCAAATAAAATAATCAAATTAACAGCAATACAGATAATAGTCAAGCATATGAATTAGATGCACTATAAGGCAACATCTTCTAGAATCACAAACGTATTTGGATTTAAGCTCAGTAACTTCAAACTTCAAACCATTATCGTTGCGAAATGCCTTTGCATCGGCATCTACATAAGGAGATGTGCATTGATTATATTGTGACATTTTGTAGGGATCCGAGAAGACAACCTGCTTAGTGAGCCTACACAACTCGACGTTTCTACAAAATTCAGCAACCGCAAAAATGAATAGAGGTCAAACTCGAACAGAAATAACTGTCATGGCAATGATATAGCTTGCCAGTGGCTATAAAAAATCAAAAGTTAAGCTCTCATCAAATGACTGCTTAGTGTATGGTTCAATTTATTGAAGAAAAAAATGATCTCGACAGAAGAAAAGATCGAGAGATACGTAAGATCAGAAAGAAAAAGACACAGAGACAATGAAGAGTAGACAAAACAGAAACTACAATTAGTTAGAATACCTATCCATACATGCAGAGAAAGATCTTTTTTTTTAAAAGCGACATGTAAAGATGTTGCAAGATGAAAAAAAAGAAAAATAAAAATACCTCACCTGCTCCCCGGCCTAACCCCTCTTCCACTACCTTGGATTGATGTTATCACATCAAACATGTTACCTATGCCCAGTAAAGGATGCAAAATAGTTGTCATTACATTCTAAGATATCTCAGATCATAAATTTATTTTTCCTTAAGAAGATCATCAAATGTTATTACAGTTGGAATAGTTAAACCATACAACTTAGTTTTGGATTACTTAAAAGTTCAAACACTATGATACCAACTAATGATACACAAAGCCTAGGTGCTGGAAAAGCCAAATAGAAGTTGGCAAACTGAGCAATGCACAATGACAAGCATCAAGCAAGTATAGCAAGTCAAATTGATGCACCCAGAAGAATGATTAGCTAATTTACACTATAGAAGGTCTGAGCAGCTACCTGTCCACCGTATACTAAATTATTCACAATCGATTCAACCGAAGGCTTCTGCATATTAGTAATTCAAGAAGAATTGCTAACGTTGATAAGGCTTTTGTTCTCAGGATTCATAAAGAAAAGTGCAGTTCCAAAAAAGGAGTTCGTGATCCAAGTCCAGCATTCAAATTGTTATCTGACTACTAATTCACCTGAGTTGTGGTCAACAACATCACAAAGATATGCAGTCCTCGCCTAGCTGCTTTATATAATCTATATGTTTTACACAGTCAGAGGGAAAAAAATAAGATTTAATAAGACATCAAAAGTGCTATCTGCTGGTGGTCATAGTAAAATTCTAGGGAAATAAGTACTCTATGTTCTCTTTGTTTTACAAAATCATTTCCTGAACTAAGGTGAAAACCTTCGTACATAAATAGTACAGACGCTGGTGAGGATGAGAATTGCCTCATAAGAACCTATTGGAATCAAGTCTATTGCACTTTGATAGAGTTGAAATAGATGAAAATTAAGATTAAAGCATTAACAGATTGAACACGCAAAGCAGAGAATGTAAGAAAATATCAGAAAAATGTGTACACGGGATAATAAGAGTGGGAAAGAGCAAAGGACCTCCGGAAGAATCGTATGTCGAAGACATCAGGCGCCTGCTTTCTTAATGATTTGTTCGTAAACGATATTAGAGGTAGAATGATCGTCATGACTAGTTGGTGTAGATGGATGGATCAACAATTTCACACAATTTGAACTCTTTGCTCTTGATAAGGCAACGTAAAGCTGACCGTGTGAAAATACAGGTTCCCGCAAATAAATTCCAACAAAATCTAAAGTTTGACCTTGTGCTTTATTTATAGTCATAGCAAAGCATAATCTAACAAGAAATTGTGTTCTTTTGAACTGAACAAGAGTTTTCTCATTCTGTGATGATAATAATAGTATTCTTGGGATAAATACATGCATATTCTTGAAATCAACTATTGTGACCTTTAAAATCACAACATGTCAATCGCGTGCCATTACATAAACCTTCACATGGATTTAGATTTCGTAATAATATAATTGGACAGTTTTCTTTTAAACATAATTTGTAAGGAGGCAAATCAGGAGGATTTAAAGTGTCTAGTAGATCTTCAAGTTGTGTTTGGTTGTTAAATTCAATAGACTCATCGGTGGCAATAAATATTTTTGATTTTCCTGCGAATCGATCAATAAGAATGTCATTACTTTCATCAACAAAATTATTTTTTGTTGCCAAGATCACACGGAAATCTGTACAGGATGAATTATAATATAACAAATCCAAATTTGAATATGTCACTGCGAATAATTTATCAAGAGATTCTATTTCGGTTTAATAAGGAATAATCAAAGAATCTGAAATTTCAATCTTGTTTGCTTAATTGACTTGTTCTTGTCCATTTTCAATTCTTATTAAATAATCATAAAATACAGGATCTGTTTTAGCTCTCATATTCTCATATAACTTTAATTTTTCAAGTTAATTCCAAATGCTAGAATATAACAAACTTTCGCCAATAAAATCTTCTTTTTTCCGTATCGCACAACATGAAGAGTCTGTCTGAAATCACCTCCTAAACTACAACTTTTCTGCCAAATACTGCATTTGTATTCATCAGATCTTTTAACAGTAGATCAAAAACTTCTAACATTCCTTTTTTGTCCATAGATACCTCATCCCACACAATCAATTTTGCATCTCGGATTAACCCTGCAAGTGAGATTTCTTTGCTAATGTTGCAACTGGTTTTTCATGGATGTCAATATGGATTTTGAAACGTGAATGTGCAGTACGTCCACCTGGAAGAATAGAAGCAGCAACACCAGAAGTAGTTGTTGCCAAAGCTATATATCCCATAGATCTTACAATTGCTAATAAAGCACGGTATAAAAGAGTTTCCCCTGTTCCTCCTGGACCATTTATAAAAAAGGCACCAGCTTTATTCGAAAATATCCTTTCAGTAATCAGATCATATGCAATGAGTTGATTTTTGTTTAATTTCCTATGTAACAATATGTCGTCTTCACTAACAATAATAGATCTTTCAAAATGAATCTCTTTTGCTTTTCTTGCTGCCGTAGAAGGCCTAATAGTTTATGGAATGAATTCATATTCATTTATATCATATCCCATAGAATGTAAAATATCGTTGATATGATTCAAAGCTTGATATTGAATTTTTCTTCTTTTAGTAATTTGTAACACTTTGTAGTCTTCGAACATTGATTCTTCAAATTGCTCCCATAATTTTCTAAGGTTGGCAGGGCAGCAATATACCAATAATATAGCAAATAAATGCCTTAAACTATATGGCATTTGGTAACTTGCGGCTTCAACATACACTCTATCAAACTATTATCATAGTGTAACAATCCTCTTTTCTTTACGGACTCTCTGAAAGTACTACAAGGCTCTCCATTCACTGTCAAAAGATCCTTATATGTTGTCGGTCCTCGTACATGCATTAGTAGTAATCTAAGATAATATTGTTCTTCTTCTATTGGATGACGTGTCACAATGCGGCCAACAACACAATGTTTTTGTCTACGTGCCCAAAATTTGTCACGTATTTGTCACACGACAAGAATATAAGAAAGTGAAGTTTTCCTAATGATTCGTTAGCCTCTCGAAGATAAGTACATACGTCTCCGTACCGATTCGCAAGACTCTACTAAACCTGCTTATGACTCATAATACCTTTGAACCTAGATCTCTGATACCAACTTGTCACGACCCAAAATCCCTACCCGTCGTGATGGCGCCCAGTACCCTGGTTAGGCAAGCCGAAACATGATAATGAAGGCAACAAAATAACAAAATTTATAGAAATGGCATAAGTCCATGGTCTCAATACTGTAAAACTGCTAATACAAAGTAAATCCCCCAAAAACTGGGAAATACAGAGTCATGAGCTTCTATAACTGTTACGACCCGAAATTTCCCACTGACGGGACCATGATGACTCCTAACATTTTACTTGCTAGGCAAGCCAACGTTAGAGAATCATTAAACCAATTCCTTATTTCC